ACGCTCCAGATGAGCCGTTCCACCGGATTCGGCCTGCTCGAGTACAATCTGTTCGACCCCGCCATCACGGCGCTCAGCAGCAACGCCACCGGCATCCTGCCCAACACCTCGATGACCGACTTGGATGCCTTTTCGGCGACGCTCTACTCGAACGGCGTGCGCAGCAATACCAGCAACACGGCCATCTCCGCCATCGCTTCGGTCGGACCGCGCACCTTTGTCGGCGGCTCGTTCTCGTCGAGTGGCAATGTCGGCTTTGCCAACATCGCCGGCTTCTCCTCGGATTCAGCCGGCAGGACGCCCATCCAGATCGCCAACGGCGGCCTCAATGGTCCCGTCGAGGCGCTTGCCAATCTCGGAAACGCACTCTTTGTTGGAGGCAGCTTCACCGGTACCGCCGATAGCGCGGTATCAGCCTCGTACATTGCACGCTACGACCCGGACGCGAACGCGTGGACGGCCCTCGGCGGAGGTCCAGATGGCGCCGTCTCGGACATTTATCCGCTGGGTCCTGACGCCATCCTGGTCGCTGGCTCGTTTGCCACCGTCAATGGCACCGGTCAGAGCGGCGGATACGCCGTCTGGAACACCACCGCCAACAGTTGGCAGACGCAGGCCAGCTTTGTGTCGGCAGAGATGACGGCCGCCTTTGCTGACTTTGCCGCAAGCAACCAGCGGAGCTTCCTCGCAGGCAGCGTTCGTGCACTGAGCCTCCAGGCTGCTTCGGGAGCTGCACAGATGCGCGCTCCCGACACGTCGGGCAGCTTGCCCATCATCGAGTCGCTCAACTTCCAGTTCGCGTCGTCTTCCAGCTCGTCCGCCTCGGCATCATCATCCGCTAGCCTCTCACGCAGACTCAGTGCAAAGACGGTTCAGCAGCAGCAGCAGCAGCAACAGCAACGGCTTTTGCAACAGCAAGGCGAGGTGCTGCCACGCGTTGCTTCGTCTGCTGGCTCTGGTCTCGGCTCCAAGCTGCGCTCGCTGCTGCCGAGGTCGCTCTTGAGTAGCGGCAAAGCAGGTGCATCCTCATCGCAAGTGGCTCCGTTGATCAAGCGTGCCGCTGTCATGGTGCCCGCCTCGCTCATGTCGAATGGCCAGTACGAGATCCTCGCCAGCGCCTTCTGGCAGCGCGACGACGGCTCCTTCGTCAACATTCTCGGCGGCAACTTTACCACCACGGCTGGCATCCGCAACCTCGCCTTCTACGACGATTCGTCCAACACGGCGTCAGCCTTCCCTGCGCCCCCCTCTTCGTCCAGCCAACGATCGCTTGCGGTGATTCGCTCTTTGCTGGTCGACGGCAACATGCTTTACGTCGGCGGCGACGATGGATTCGAGGCGTACGACCTCAAGAAGGCCAGCTGGATCACCAATGCTGCGCCGCTTTCGGCCAGCTCGGGTCAGGTGCTCTCAGTGACCTCGATCGACCACCGACCGGACTCGACGCAGCTCATTGTGTCCGGCAGCTTTGCGTCCGCAGGCTCGTTGCCGTGCCAGAACGTCTGTCTCTGGGACACCAACGGCATGCGCTGGAGCCCTCTGAGTGCTGGTCTCAGCGGCCAGATCTCGGCGCTCGACTTTGCCGGCAGCAAGGCCAACCAGCTGATCCTAGCAGGCTCCATGACGGTCAACGGCGCCGAGGCGTCGCTGGTCAGCTACAACTTTGACACGCAGATGTGGGCCAGCTTGGGCAGCGTCGGCAGCGGCTCGAACCAGATTCCTGGGCCTGCGACGGCGGTCAGCGTCGACGACCTCAACGCCAATGCCATCTTTGTCGCTGGCCGCACCGCCGATGGAAGCGCACCCTACCTGGTCAAGTGGGACGGCACGCAGTACTCGAGCGTCGGCAACGGTCAGTTCCTGCCCGCTACGGGCATCTCGCAGTTGACGTTTGTGCCCATCTCCAAGGCGCATCCGAGCAACCCGATCCTGGAAGACAACCGATTGCTCGTGGTGAGCGGTGCGCTGACCACGCAGGACTATGGCAACATCTCGAGCGTGTTCTTTGACGGCCAGAACTACGCGCCGTTCTTGGTCGCGACCAACCTGGACGGCTCGTCGGGCATCGTGCGCGCCTTTACCCGATCCACAGAGGTGCTGCGCTTCCCCAACCTGCATCACTTGGCGGTGGGTCTGGTGATCCTGATTTCGATCGCGATCGGATTGGGCATTGTGTTCTTGCTGGTGCTGCTCGGTCTCATCTGGGCGGTGGCGAGGAGACGACCCGAGCCTCGCGACATGGACGTGCCGCTGTCGGCGAGCGACGAGACGCTGGGGCTTGGCGAGAAGAAGCGACCGTCGAGCTTGCTGGCGACGCTGAATGCAGCCACCGAGACTGCCATGCTCGGCGAGCACGGTGGCGGCGGTGCTGCTACTGCTGCGGGTGTTGGTGCAGGAGCTGCTGCAGGAGCCGTCGGTGCCGCAGCCTTTGCTGGACATCGTAGACATGATTCGCAGCAGGCCGACACGAGCGGCGAAGCGGGCATGTCCAACTACCACAGCGATGGCGGACGCACGGGGCAGAGCGCACAAACGCACTATGCGACGGACGAAGGTGGATTCTCGGACGCGGATGCGGAAGCGGGCATGGTGGGTGGCGCGGCTGCAGCGGCGCCGGCCATCGGTGGTGACGACGACGACGACTCGCCGATGGAGGGCATCCCCGCACATGCGCGCTACGAGTTTGTGCCGAACCACGAATCCGAGCTGCCGCTGACGGCGGGCGAGCCCATCGAGATTCTGGATGATCAGGACCGTCACTGGTGGCTGGCGAGGAACTCGCGCGGCCAGACCGGTGTGGTTCCGAGCGCCTATGTCATGTGATCGCGATCGATTCAAAAGGTGGTAGGGCGAGGTTCCATTTGATGGCAGGGCCTTTCCATTCATACCCGTTCTGATAACAGGACACCGCAGAAACACTTTCACTGTCTTTTCTCTATGCATTGCTCTCTTCACGGTTTTGTATGTCGTTTCACCTGGCCGTTTGTTTCGATTTCGAGACCGCCCTTGCCCGCAGCACAGGCTGCCCGGGTTTTGGGATTAGCGCCTGCCTTTGTGGCTTGTCAACTATCCCTCAGCTTGTGTGCGAGAGGAGTCGTCGTCGTCGTCGTCGTCGTCGTCGTCTGTGTCGAGGGAGATAGTCGAGGTGAGATGAGGCAGAGATGCATGCAACGGCGTAACATGGCTGAGGGCGCAAAAATTCTTTGGACGGCGTTTGAGGCGTCGGAATTATTCTTGGATGAGCTCGACTCCACACGCACGTCTGACGGTTCGACGATCGCCTCCATCCTGCCGCTCTTGATCTGTCCCCTGACTCGCATCGACGTGGATGTGGTCAGCGCTCGCCACAGTTTTATCCGCACCATCCTTCCAGCCGACAGCCAACGACTAGGCTCTCTTGGCACCGGCTTCGAACAAGTGTTCTACCGCCTCAGCCACGGCGGATTGCATCGACTCGGCCCTTGCATCACGACTTCTTGACTGCATTGCTGCTATCCACGATACCCACACAAAAGGACAGCAGATCGGACGAGGTCAGTGGTGGTTCGTTGTCCGATACGACGAGGGAGCGGTGACTTTTCGACTGCATCGCGACGTTTCATTCGACATCCATCGAGAGCGGGCGATCGTTCAAGGCTTGTTTCTTCTACTCGAAAAGCATCTCTTCTGCGTGCGGTGACGATCCATCCGGCGGCAGCTGCATCACACTAGGCTGCTACTCTCCAACGCAGCGCTGGGTCCCACAGACTTGCTGCCTTCGACCAGCAACGTCACCCAGTGGTCCAGCTCGCTAGCCTTTTTCACGTCTTGCTCTCTCGGTGACGGCACTCGTGGCTGAGTCGCTGCCCGGCACATCCACTCGAGTGCGCGCAGGATGGCGTTCGATCTGGATGCGTGCATCGCCACGCTGCTCAAGAAGCAACTGCTCGGCGAGGCATTGCTCAAGGAGATCTGCGAAAAAACAAAAGAGATCCTGATGCGCGAGTCGAACGTGGTGCACATCTCGGCGCCCGTGACAGTAGTCGGAGACATCCACGGCCAGTTCTACGACTTGATAGAGATCTTCCGTATCGGCGGGTATGCGCCGCACACGAATTACCTCTTCTTGGGCGACTATGTGGACCGGGGGCTGTTTTCGGTCGAGACCATCTCGCTGCTGACGTGCTTGAAGCTGCGGTATCCGGACCGGGTGCAGCTGATCCGCGGCAACCACGAGTCGAGGGCGGTGACGCAGACGTACGGGTTCTACACCGAGTGCCAGCGCAAGTACGGCAGTGCCAACGTGTGGACGTACTTTACGGACATGTTTGACTTTCTCACGCTGTCCGTGGTGATTGACGACCAGATCTTCTGCGTGCACGGCGGGCTGTCGCCGTCGGTGCACTACATCGACCAGGTCAAGATCATCGACCGCTTCCGCGAGATCCCGCACGAGGGGCCCATGGCCGACCTGGTCTGGTCCGACCCAGACCCGGACAAGGAAGAGTTTGCCATCTCCCCGCGCGGCGCAGGCTACACGTTCGGCGCCTCGGTGGTCAAGCACTTTTTGCACCGCAACAACATGAACCACATCCTGCGCGCGCACCAGCTGTGCATGGAGGGCTTCAGCGTGCTCTACGACGACCGGCTGTCTACAGTGTGGAGCGCACCCAACTACTGCTACCGCTGCGGCAACATGGCGTCGATCCTCGAGGTCTTCCCGGACGGCAGCAAGCACTTCAACACGTTCGAGGCGGCGCCGGAGAACGAGCGGGACGGGCCGAACCAGCATAATCTGAACGGCGGGCCGACGGCGAATGGCAAGCACGAAGCGGTCGAGTACTTTTTGTAGGCAGAGCAATTGAACAAAAAGAGACGCAGCGAGACGCTTGGAAAGCAGTGTGTGGTTCTGCGACGGGAAGCATGCTCAAGACGATGCGCGACGAGACCTGAGATCAAGGAGCGACGATCTGGCTGGGGCGTGGCACATGGACGCAAGGCAGAGCGAGCAAGGGCACCAGGGCACTATGGCGGAGTGGTTATCGCGTGGCACTAGAATCACGGCCTTGCATTCTAGAGCATGTACTGCTCAACAACAATATGCCATTCCCTCTGGGAGCACAGGTTCAAATCCTGTTGGTGTCGATTCTTTTTTGGAGCTTCCAGAGGTCGTGGCGCTGGTCAGGATGCTCGTGGGCAACCTATGATGATGCTTTCAGAAGGTCGTTCATGATTGAAAGTGGGGAAGGGGAGGGAGGGGAGGAAGAGGATCATGTTGGAAAGAGTGAATCTCGAAAAAGGGGTCGTTGCAAAAAGAAATGCCGGCAAAAAGGAGGTCGAGAAATTGCTGCCCAAAACAGGCAGCTCAGCGTTAACTTTGTGTTCTTACGACTGGCAGGCGATCGACACACCGAGCGCTTGTTCCTGTGCCACGTAGACGGCATCGACACACACGACAAGCTTGTCACAGTGCCAAGCGACGAGAGTGCGAACTGTGAAAAGTCGATCGAGTCTCGGAGAGTGACTTTCGACGCGCGTCTACTGTTCTCTGTTGGACTCAGCTGGTGTGTTGTTGTTGTTCTCGTCTCCACCCTCGAGAGGCACACAGTGGCGACAGGACAGGCACAGCAGAGCAGAGAGAGTGTGACGCGACTGAGCTTTTAGGGAGGAAAAAAGCGCAGTGTCAAGGCAAAGCCAAACAGAACAGAACTCGCTCAGTGCCGATTTCGGCTGTGCTTCAACATCTGCCAAGCGGCTCACAGCAGCTGGACCGTGCTTTTCCACAATCCCTTTCCTTACGCTCTCTTCCATCAACACCACCATCAATCCCGTCGTGCTCTCTGACTGGCGAGAAAACAGCAAGACCACACTCTTTTTGCATCAAGTGGATTTCGCACGTCTCAAACCTTATTCCGATTCAAGCAAGCTTCGAGGCTTCGCTAATCTTGGCGGTACCTTCATTTTGTGACAGCAACACTCTCTTCCGTCTTGGAGCGGAAAGCTTTTCAGCGCAAACCAACCATGTTCCTCTTCGACGCCCTCGTCTTCCTCATAGCCATCACGCTATCCATCGGCATCTCGGTGCTCATCTCGCAACCCTTCAACGGCGCCATTGTCCGCCTGCGTGCCAACTACCTCCCCAAGGCGGTCAGCCTCGACAATGTGCTCGAGGACGGTGCTGGCTCGACGAGCGGGCCTCGCGCGCTCTCGTCCTTCTTGCTCTCGGAGCGCAGGTCGTCGGCGAAAATCGGGCCGGTCGTCACAGGCGTGTTTGCCATGATGCTCCGAACCAAGCGGTTGGAAGGCTGGGCTGGCATCTACAAGGGTTCCATCCCTGTCGCGATCCAGATCTTCACGCTCAGCACCTTGACGTTCATCTTCTTCGCCGGCGCATCCGCAAGCTCGCCAGGAAGCGCGTACAAGGCCGGGCCCGCGGGGCCAGGTCAGTTCAGCTTCTTCTCGAATCTGTTCTACATGCTCTTCGTCTCCCTGGCTGCTTTGCCTCTCAACGTCCTCACCTACCGCACCATCGTCCACCCCCGCATCCTGCCGCTCAACAGTCCGCGCGAGAACCTGCGCGAGCTACTCTCGTACACCGAGTTCACCCAGCCCTGGCGGCTGTACCTCCTCCCCGGTCTGCTCGCCGCCAACGTGCTGCACGTGCTGTGGATCGGGCTGGCGACGCGCATCGTTCGACAGATCACCGTGCCCTCGCTCGGCGGGCTTCCCGGTGCCAAACCTGCCGCTCCCGGAGACGACACGTACTCGGGCCCCAACTCGAACATGCTCGAGATCAGTCCGGTGGGGCTGCCCATCTTTGTGCTGTGGAACGTCATCAGCGTCGTGGTGCTCGCTCCGCTCGAGTGCGCCATGGTGCGGCTGTCGACGCAGCGGCCGGAGAGGCAGAACCCGCTGCACCGCGCGTATGCGCGCGTGCCGAGCGCAGACACGGCGCCGTCGCCGTACTCGCA